GGCTCTGCTGATCCCGGTGTTGGGAGGCATATTACCCTTTTACTATATAGGATAGAGGCCTGGTGCATGGGTCGGCCTGGCTGGTTTGCCCTAAAGGGGGTCCTGGATCAGGGTGGGGGTCCCCACTGGGGTGCCTGGCCAGTCTGGGTGAGGGGCTGAGGGCTGTTTTCAAGCTGGCGGGTGATGGAAGCTCCCAACTGCCCCATTTTTCTTTTTTTCTTTTTTTTCTGGGCCAGCTTTAGCTCTGGCTCCAGCTCTGAGGCGTCTGCTGCTGAAAGAAGGTATCTGGTTTGTTTGGGTTTTATAATCAAAACAATGTATAACTCCAGCCCTGAGATCCTGGGCTCGCCAAATGCAGGTTTCTGGGGTTTTGTTTAGTTTCTATATTTGTTACAGTGTTTCTTAAACTGCAAGCTCAGAGGCCGGCAAGGCAGGCGGGGAACGTTGGAGTCCTCTGTCACTGAAGCAAGCAAGCCTCATGTTAGTTTCAAGCTGCCTGGCTGCCGGCTGCCATCTTGGCTGGCAGTTAATTTGCATATCACCCTGATTAGCCAATGGGAAGGGTAGCGGTCATATGGTAATGACCATGTTTCTCTTTTATTAGATAGGACTCGAGGCCTATTGCACAAAATTCATGCACTCAGCAGGGGAGGTGGTCCCTTAGCCCGGCCTGAGCCCTCTAGTAGCCCGGGAATCCTTAGAGGATGTCTGACTGACAGTTTAGCATCAGTTCAACATCCTTAGCCGTCAATCAGACATCCTTAGTGCTGCTGCAGAGGTGGGAGAGGTTCCTGCCCCTGCTGCTGTGCTCGCCAGCCATGAGCCCGGCTTCTGCCTGAGCAGCTCTCCCTGTGGGAGGTCACTGACCACCAGGGGGCAGCTCCTGCATTGAGCGTCTTCCTCCTGGTGGTCAGTGTGTGTCATAGAGTCCGTCGTTCCTTCTTTTGGTCAATTTGCATATTAGCCTTTTATTATATAGGATATTATATTTTGTTGTTGAATCATTCTCTTTTATTATGAAGAGGCCTTCTTTGTCTCTTGTTATGGCCTTTGTTTTGAAATCTATTTTGTCTAATGTGAGTATTGCTACCCCAGCTTTTTTTCTTTTTCCATTTGCATGAAATATATTTTTGTATCCCTTCACTATCAGTCTGTGTGTATCTTTTGTTCTGGGGTGGGTCTCTTGTAGACATCATATATATGGGTCTGTTTTCTTATCCATTCAGTTACCCTATGTCTTTTGACTAGAGCATTTTATCCATTAACTTTTAAGATTATTATTGACTAGTGGCCTGGTGCACGAATTTATGCACATTGAAAGGAAATAAATTAGAAGAAATATTTTAATATCGCTATTCGTCCTTTCTGTATAATAGAAGTGTGAACCAAATTCATGATCAACAATGACAGATAGAAACATATGTATGCGATTGGTGCCAGTGAGAACTTTATATGTATTGCTCACGCGCAAGTCGACATTTATTTTTAAATTGCCAGTGCACCTCATATGTACTGGCCGGTCAGTCGAACAGACGGACGGTGGGTCACTTAGCCTTTTATATATACCATTTCTTGCTTCTTTTCAGTTGGGTCAATTTTTAAAACATTCTAAGTCTCCATTTTCTGGCTAATGAAATGAAAACAGGATTCTACCGAGTCTCCTCTCTACCTATTCCAGGACTTCAGTGAGGATCAAATGAGATGAGGCATGTGAAAACACTTCACAGACATTTGGTTACAGTGTGAAATCTTTCTACCTGGCTATAAAGCAAGTTGTGTTTCTGGGCTGAAGAAACTACAAGGAGGCTAGTTGCTAGGGAGAGGAGGCTGGGCGTTGATATGTGACTTCATTACCTGGATGGTCCATACATTTAGCTAGTTTCTCTGGGAGTTCATAAACAAATAAAAAGCAGAAACATTGCCTTGTACTTATTTATTTATTTATTGCCATTTTATTTTATTTATTTATTTATTTTTCATCTTTTTTTTGGTTCATTTTATTTTATTTTGTTCTATTTTGTTTATTTATTTTTTATTGCTTAAAGTATTACAAAGGGTATTACATATGTGTCCATTTTTCCCCCCTGCCCTAGACAGTCCCCTAGCCTCCCTTATCCCCCAGTGTCTTATGTCCATTGGTTATGCTTATATGCATGCATACAGTCCTTTGGTTGATCTCTTACCTTCCTCCCTCCTGCCCCCCAACCCTCCCCGGCCTTCCTGGGGCAGTTTGACAATCTGTTTGAGGCTACTCTGCCTCTGTATCTATTATTGTTCAAAAGTTTATAATGGTCTCTATTATCCATGAATGAGTGAGATCATGTGGTATTTTTCCTTCGTTGACTGGCTTATTTCACTTAGCATAATGCTCTCCAGTTCCATCCATGCCATTGCAAATGGTAAGAGTTCCTTCCTTTTTAGAGCAGCATAGTATTCCATCGTGTAGATGTACCACAGTTTTCTAATCCATTCATCTACTGATGGGCACTTAGGCTGTTTCCAGATCTTAGCTATGGTGAATTGTACTGCTATGAACATATATTGCCATTTTAATTTTCTTTGTGCCTATGATCCTCTCTCCTTTTATTCTCCTTTTTAAAAAAAAATATATTTTATTGATTTTTTTATAGAGTGGAAGGGAGAGAGAGAGAGAGTTAGAAACATCGATGAGAGAGAAACATCGATCAGCTGCCTCCTGCACACCTCCTACTGGGGATGTGCCCGCATCCAAGATACATGCCCTTTACTGGAATTGAATCTGGGACTCTTCAGTCCACAGGCCAACGCTCTATCCAGTGAGCCAAACTGGTTAGGGCTTCTTCTTCTTCTTAAAGCAGTCCCTTTAACATGTCTTGCATTGGTGGTAATGTACTCCTTTAATGTTTTTTTCTTTGGAAAGCTTTTTATTTCACTTTTAATTTTAAATGATATCCTTGCTGGATACAGTATTCTTGGATTTAGACTCTTGCTTTTCATTACTTTGAGTACTTCATGCCACTCCCTTCTGTCCTGAGTGTTTCTATTGAGAAGTCAGTTGACATTTTAATGGGAACCTCTGTAGGTAATTTTATGTCTCTTGCTGCATTTAAGATTCTGTTTTTGACTTTAACATTTCCTATTCTAATTACGATGTATCTAGGTGTGGTTCTCTTTGGGCTCCTCTTGATTGGGACTCTGTGCCCTTTGAACTTGTGCGACATTTTCCTTCACCAGGTTGGTGAAGTTTTCTGTCATTTCTTTAAACAGATTCTCTTTTCCTTGCTGTCCCTCTTCCCCTTATGGTAGTCCCATAATGCATATGCTGTTACATTTCATGGTGTCCCAGGGTTCCCTTAATCTATCTCCCTTCGTTTTAATTCTTTTTTTTCCATTTGCTGCTCTAATTGTGTATTTATTTCTACCTTTTCTTCCAAATTGCTGATTCAATCATCTGCTTCATCCAATCTACTTTTAATACCTTCCGGTGTGTTCTTGATGTCAAATACAGCACTCTTCTATCTGTTTGGTTCTTGTTCATGGCCTCTATTTCCTTTTTCATGCTGTTGTAATTTGCACTAAGTTCCTTAAGCATCTTTATTACCGTTGCTTTGAACTCTATGTCTGATAGGTTGCTTGCTATTTCATGTAGTTCTTTTTCTGGATAGTCCTTTTCTCTCATTTGGGGGTTGCTTCTTTGTGTCCTCATTGTAGCTGTCTTTTTGTATTTGCTTCTATGTATTAGATAGAACTGTTGTGCCTCCCAGTCTTTGTGGGCTGGCCTAATAAAGAAAGTATTTTGAGGGGTCCAGTACTGCGGTCTCTTTGTTCACCTGAGCTGGATGCTCTAAGAGTGCCCCTTGTGTGTGTTATTTGGGTTCTCCTGTTTTAATTGGGACTTGATTGTTGATGTCCTGTTTGTGGGAAGTATCTCCCCTCCAACTTGCTGCCAGTGAGGTTGGGGCTCATTGGATTTTGCTCTGATGTTGTTGAATCTGGTCTCTTGGTGTGTCTATCCTGGGTCTCCTGGAAGCTGCTCTAGTGCAGGTGAATGTGAGTCACTGTCCCTTTCTGGCCCTGGGTAACCTAAGTGTGGTCTAAGAGGTTGAACCCTCTAGTAGTCCAGTGGTCAGGGAATCCTTATCCCAGAGGCTGGGTCTGCCTTGAGTCTCACGCCTTGATTGTCTCTGTTCTGAGTTGTACTCCCTTCCCCCATGGATCTGGTCCCCCAGGTGTCAGCTGCAGGTGCTGGGGATTGGCGGTGGGGTGTGTGCGCACAGTCCCCCTCTGGCGTTCGACTCCCTGTGAGGTCCTGGAGCCTGCTTGCAGGGGATTCACTGCTGGGGACTCACTATGTGGTCCTGGAGCTGCGGTAGGGTTGTTTACTAGGTCCCGCTTGCATGCTCCCTGTGGGGTCCCGGATCCTGTGGCAGACTCTGCAACTCACTGTGGGATCCTGGAGCCCGTGGTGGGGATCCCTTGCGAGGTCCCATTGGTATGAGGCTTACTGCACGGATCCGGGGTTGGTGTCCAAGGCTAGCCTGGGTAGTGGTGAGGCTGTGCTCCTGGCTGCTGCTGCTCCCCGCTTCAAGATGGTGCGGTTTCCATGCCAGAGCCGCGTCTGCCCAGGGAGTGCCTGTGGTGATAGCAGGGGGCTCTTTGTCCAGAAGAACCTGATCCATGGCCCCTGAGACTCCTATGGGATCTGTCTCTTACACACACACACACCACAAGTCTGCACTCCCCTTTGCTTTGCTTACTCAGTCTCTCCCTCACTGCTGCCCTGCCAGCCACCATGTTGAATTTCCTGGAGACTCTGTTTCAGCCAGTAACTCTAACCATCTACTTCAAATGCCTTTTTAATAATTTTGACCAAATTTGATTAATTCTTACCTTTCCTTAGGGTACTCCTGCAAGTATTGATGCTTTAATAGTTAACAATGAACCAAGGGGAAAACGTGGGGATGAACGTTAGATTTGTATTCATAACTAGTGCCTAAAATTCTGGAACTCATTTCTTCTAGGCAAATCGGCAACCTTCCAACTATAATTCAGCCAAAATGTCTACTCCAGCAGACAAGGTCTTACGGAAATATGAGAATAAAATTAATCTAGGTGAGTTTGTAAAATACATTTCTTCACTGGGCTATGAGGAAATTCTTAAAAAACACCTGAAGTGTTATAAAGATTTATTGGATCAAGAAATATTTGTGCCCTGGCCGGTGTGGTTCAGTTGATTGGCGCATTGTCTCACACACCAAAAGGTTGCAGGTTCAATTTCTGGTCAGGGCACATATCTAGATTGTGGGTTTGATCCCAAGTTGGGGCACCTGTGGGAGGCAAGCAGCTATGTTTTTTCTCTCTTTCCTTCTTCTTCTCCCTCCCTTCCTTCCTCTTCTTCCTCCAAATCAATTAAAAACATATCCTTGTGTGAGAATTTAAAAAAAGAAAGAAAAAAAATGAGTATACTTGGTGTTACTGACTGAATAATGCTTAGAGAAAATAAGAACTTAGTAATTTGAAAATATTGCTTCAAGTGAAAGACTTTATTTTAGCTTATGCTTTTTTTTAGTTCTTTTTCTACCCTGTTGTACAAATACAATGTTACAAATATATTCAAGTTATTGTCTGTTTTGTATTAGATTTTTGTAGGATGTTGAAAATACTAGAATGTTGAATATAATTACATTGTGTTTACCAGAGACATTTTATGTAGGCATTAATCATTTAGTGAGCTGTTGAATGTAAGGAATCAGAATGTTTTGAGAAAAATACAAAGTTGTCTTTCTCTTGTAGACATCAACTTGTTATAAGTCTAGCACACTGTCTCATATTCCTATCATTGTCTTTCATGGACCTGAAATTTGAAATGAGACTGAAGTTTTTAGAATTAAACTTGGAATCTAGTCAGTTACATTATTTATATTAGTTGTGAAAGATATGAAGTGTCTGAAATTCAGCATATGCGGATATAGTATTTTTGAGGGATTTCTGTATCTGGATTTCTGTGCTCAAAATTTATAGCTGTAGTGATGAGAGTGACACTTGTTATCAAGGAAACACAACCTAGTGCTTATCTTTAAAAACATTAAAACCTTTTCATTACTTAAATATATTCTATGTATAAGAAAATATTTAGAAAATAGAGAAGGAAGAGGGGAGAAGAATCCCATTCAAAAAGACTATTAATGTCTTTCTGTCTTACATGTTGTTCACATTGTGAATTGTTTTCTTTTTTCAGATAAGCTAAATGTTACTGATTCTGTCATAAATAAAGTCACTGAAAAGTCTAGACAAAAGGAAGCAGATATGTAAGTAATATTTTAACTATAAAACATGGCTGATAGGGACTAATTCTAGACAAATTAAGTGGTCTTGTGATCATAATTATTTTACAGAGGATGGTATTTTTGTTTTGGGGTGTATATTGTATATTTAAACTTTTTTTTTTTTTTTTTAGCTTAAATACCTTTGTTCACAAATGTGGTCTTAGGATAACAGTGTTTGAAATTTCTGTTTAAATGTTTAAACTGTTAAAATTTTAGCATAAAAATGCTCCCTTTTTAGAATTTATTTCAAAATTATTCCCTTTCATGACATTTTTTGTTTTTAATGGTATAACCGAAAACAGATTACATTTACACTTCTGTTCTCAAAACCAGTTGTTTAAGATCTGGCTAATTTCTATATGCTGTTAACTCTAAGACATTAACAATATATTATAGAAACAGACACTAAGATCATACAACTAGTAGTGTTAGAACTGAACTTGAAAACCAATTTTCTTATGGTTTATTGCTAGGCCCAAGTGATCCTAACTTTTTGAGAAACAACATAGTCATTTGTTATTTTATTCAAGTGTCTGAATCTTTGTATTTGAAACTTTATTAATTTAGATTTGTGTGCTAATTGAGTCACTTTGTGTGTGAACTGAAGCATTTTAATAAGGAACTCAGTAACTGTCTTGAAATGGTGTCTTGTGTCTGAAGAAAAGGACTCTAAAGAGAAAGCCTTATATGTTGACTTTAATTCTGTACTAAATATTTGAAGGACAGTATAGACTTCATCTTTTCCTTTCTACAGCATAGTTCACTTTACCTCACCTATCTTTTTTATTTAATGCTTCTAAATTATGGATATAAATTTGTTTTCTGCAAATAGGCTCCTTTTACCCTAGGGAACGGAATTGCTTATTAAGGAGAAATGAAATACGTTTTACTGAGTGATGAAATTATGAGATCTTGAAATCTGTTATTAAAGAAACTACCTATTTAGGAATTTCATGGAATGAAGTACATGTAGAAACTTTTTATTTGGCTTCTGTGACTAAATTTTGAATGTCACCTATACTTTTTGTTTTTGGTTAGGTATCGCATCAAAGATAAGGCAGACAGAGCAACTGTAGAACAGGTACAATTTAAATGTGTTACAAGTTTTTATTTTAAAATAGCATTTTTCTTCTCTTTGAATTATAGTTTGCTTTTATCCTTCTTATTTAATGCTAATATTAAAATGCTAATGTCTAAAATTATTCCTGTATAAAATTACTCCTTTTTATAGTTTTGAGTTTAGAGCTCTACATTTTGCTTTATTGAACTATTAATAGACAAATTTGAGTCATGCCTCCCTCCGTGGCCCTGTGAAGCCACCATGTAATGCTTTCATCTGCTCGGGGGAAGCAGAATTGATTGTAAAACCAAAAATCTTTTCTCTTATATTAAAGAAGGTCTGCAGGAATTTTGTCAACTTTCTCAGAAGATAGAACAGGTATCTGCCACAAGATAGGATGGATGGTAATGTGTGTGAGAGAGAGATGGGTAATGCCTTAAATTTTCCAATTAGAAATCCCTTACTTGGTTTAGAAGTTAATGCTTGTTTGCTTCTTTTTATTCAATAATGGGAGAAAGTTGGCCCCTATTTTTCCCACATGTAGAGGGTTGTGATTGGATGTTAGCATTGACCCAGATTTTTTATGTGAACCAAGTCATAAAAAAGGTCAGAACATTACTACTGCAGCCTACCGCCCTCTCCCTGCCCACACCCATATGTACAAATACATTTTGGAGTAGTAGCCCTTTTGACCTACAGATCCTTGGTTTAAGACATAGCACCCCTTCTACTATTTACCTCAATCCCCAAAGGAGTAACACCCTACCTGAGCTCTAGAACCATTTACTATATGCAATTGAAGAATTTTGCATTTAGTCAGGAGCAGGTCTGAGATCTGTGTCTCCATTATTCTCTAATTTAGTTATTTTGTGTGATTTCTTTTTGTGATTGAAGACAAAGTGTGGACCCGCACAGACAGATGAGGCAACTTTAATTTTCAAAGAACCTAAAATAACTCAGGCAGAAAATCCTTTCTTTTTCTCTTTTGAAATTAATTTTGAATGAGAATATGTATCTTGAGTCTCAAGCTGCCTTTATAAAACATGTATCTCTAAGTTTATTCTCTTGTATTTCTCTTTACTTATTTTGTTGTTAAGCCATTTCTATATGCTGCTCCTTTCTACCCCCTAACTTGGCTACAGATCTCTATCTGGATTCCTGTGTTCAACCAGCGTATACCCCCGCTATTTACCTGTACTGTAGAGAAGGACTGTTCACTCACTTTCCTTTTATTCTATTCCCGTTGCTATGGATGTAGTTTGGGTTTTAGTTCTGCAATCTTTTAAGATTATTTTGTTTCTATTAACCTTAGGTTTCTGGTATGACTGCAGCCACCTCATTGAAAGATAGACTCTAGAGCAGGAGAGGGTAACCTTTTACCTGCCAAGGGCCATTTGGATATTTTTCACATCAGTCACAGGCCACACAAAATTATCAGCTTAAAAATTAGTCTGCTCTGTTTGGCCAAACATATAAACAACTCACCCCTAATGCCTTGACAGGAACGGACCAAATGATTTCATGGGCCTTTGATGTTCCCCTCCCCTGCCCTAGAATATAGTTTGATTTGGCCATTTGACACTGTCTGACTTTATGCAGCTAGTGGGTCTGTCTGAGCCATAAGGAGCTCTTATGATCTCCCTTGAAATTGCATGTAAATATGTAGCTGCTTCAGTTTCAGAACTGGACAGGAGCAGGCTTTAGTTCATTGCCTCCTGTTTGTTAAAGAAGACTTTGGGGTCTTCTTTTTAAAAATATTTTTATTGATTTTAGAGAAGAAGGGAGAGGGAGAGAGATAGAATCATCAATGGTGAGAGAGAATCATTGATCGGCTGCCTCCTGCATGGCACCCACTAGGGATTGAGCCCACAACCCCAACGTATGTCCTGACTGGGAATCGAACTGTGACCTCCTGGTTCATAGGTTGACGATCAACCACTGAGTCACCCTGGCTGGGCTTTGAGGTCTTCTTTCCTCAAAATTGACTGCTCTGGCTTGGAAGGAGACCCTTCCCCTGACTTACTCATCTATAGCAAGGGGCTGCAAACTCTTTTAAGTACTAAAGAATAATACTTTAGACGTGGCTCACAATTCTTTTTTTTTTTTTTAACAAGTATTTTAAAATATAAAAACCATTCTTAGTTTGCAGGCTGTAGAGAAACAGGCTGCCACCTGAATTTCACTCATTAGCTGTAGGATGCTGACCCCTGGTTCAAATAGAGTGGCCACTGAGCACTTGGAATGTTGCAGGTTTGAATGAGACATGCCATAAACGGAAATACACACCAGATTTCTAAGACTTAGGGTTACAGAATGTTAAATCTCTCACTAAGTTTTAAAATATTGATTACATGTTGAAATGATAGTGTTTTAGATGTATTGGATTAAAAACAGTGTATAAAACTAATTTTACCTTGTTATCTTGGACATATTTTAATGTGGTAAAACTAGAAAATGTAAAGTTTCTTATGTAGTTTGCTTTGTGTTTCTATTAGCAAACGGTCTGGAGTCAGTTTCTGCTTCGCTTGGACTTGGTAGCCTTTGATTTCTACGACCGAATGAACAAGTTTATTGTCTCTTTGGTTTATTGTCTCCATGGTTCCTGTGGCCTCCACCTCCCATTCTCTTTACTAAATATTAGAATGAATGAAAGTACCATAATAGCAACTCTCATTTAGCCAACCATGGTACAGTTAGGTTCTTCAGTTTATTAATTGTCAAATTCTTGAATGAGAAATAATTGGTACCATCTTTCTGAACTTCTATTTTTGGCATTTCTGTTTAGGTGTTGGATCCCAGAACACGAATGATATTATTCAAGATGTTGACTAGAGGAATCATATCGGAGATAAATGGCTGCATTAGCACAGGAAAAGAAGTGAGCTTTTCTTTGGATGCCTAAATGTTTTCATGTTAGTTTTCTTATTTCAGATAAGAAATGAAATTAAGGCATTTTGTAAATAAAATGTTCCTTTAAAAAGAAAGTCAATGTCTGTATACAAGTTAATATAGTTTAATCTGTGTTTCTAAAAATGGCTTTATTAATATTTATCAAACGGTAGGAAATAATGCACATAATTTTGCCTTTTCATGCCATTACTATAACGTATCATGAGTCCAACTAGTTGTGTTCAGCAGTACAGTTAGATGGTCAAGTTACTTCAGGCCTGAGTCCTAATCAAGTAGTACTAATAGGGGCAAGGGGCTACGGTCTAATTTCTGTAGTCAGCTAATGTCTTTCTCATTTTTTTCTTTGTATATGGATATTCAGAAAGACAAATGTGTTTTTAAATTAGCAACTCATAGATAGGAAGCAGTTCTTAGTAAAAATCAATTTATAAATCATGTGATGTGAGAATGTCTTCATGTATTTTCCACATGCTTGAGATATAAAAATGTTTCAAATCGCTTCTTACATGTATTTAAGTTGGATTTTACTATATATGTAATTGGAGATATATTTATTGTGTCTTTTGGTATGATGGTTTATGATTTAATACATACATTCAAAGATGGTGTTCCTTATGCCTATTATTTCAGTTCATTTGACTTTTTTTAACTTTTGAACATAGAATCAAATAGATTGAAAAAGTAAAATACTGTTTGTAGTTATTTAACACAAACTTAATTTTCTTTGGTTTTGACTTAAAATAGGCTAATGTATACCATGCCAGCACAACAAATGGAGAGAGCAGAGCAATCAAAATTTATAAAACTTCTATTTTGGTGTTCAAAGATCGGGATAAGTATGTAAGCGGGGAATTCAGGTGAGCTCAGATTTTTTTCTTCAGTTAGCTTAATTTCAATATTCTAAAAAATAAAAACTAGAACGGGATGATTTAAATAACGAATTCTTTTCTTGTTCAAGATTTCGTCATGGCTATTGTAAAGGAAACCCCAGAAAGATGGTGAAAACTTGGGCAGAAAAAGAAATGAGGAACTTGATCAGGTGAATGGGGGTGTCTGTGCTGTGCCCTGCACATTGGCTTTGGTTCTTTCCCACCCGCAGATTCCAGTGGTTCTGTCTAAAAATCTAGGGACACGGTGGGGCTGTTCAGGTCCATTAGATCCACTGAGGGAAGTTAGACAATAAGAGCCACTGTATCTTTTCTGGGTCATGTAAAGAGCCTTAGAAACCATGTGAAAACTTTTAGAATTGATACTGAGGATGATAAAGAGCTGTTATAGGATCTTAAGCAGGCAAGTGACTTAATTAGATTGTGAGAATGATGGGTCATTTTTAAATAGGTATTAGAGTTTTAGACAGTTTTGTTAGGCCCAAAACTCTTTATTAGTTTCCTTATTTCAGCCCAATTTTGGATACATTTATATAGTCTCTGAGTTGATACCTTCTTATCTGCTGTACATAAGTGACATATGCTGGCTATTTTAGTATTAAGCAGGTATTAATGATTGTTTTGAAAACCCTTCTGAAATTTGGGTGTGCTCAGTTAGCTATTAGGTATGAGTCCAACTGTTTTTACTGATCATTGCTCAGGCTAATCAGCTTGAAAAATCATCGCAGACATACCTGTTATATTTCATCAACTCAAAGACTCACATTTTTTTCACAGTTTAACATCTTTGGAATTGGATTGGGTGTTAGAGGCTATGGGATGTTGTTGTTGAATTGCCAGTGTTTTGTCATTCTTGATGGTGCATGATGGTGCTACTTAAAATCGTTAGTGTGTTACAGTTTTTGAAATATAGTAATATAATTGGAAGACCCTGGTGCTGTTTCCTAACAGCAATATTAATCTTGTGTACTATAGTTGTTGTAATTGTTTCAGATGCTGTATTTAGCCTTTTCATTTGCCCTTTTATCTGTTTTAATATCACAGGCTGAACACAGCAGGGATCCCATGCCCAGAACCTATCCTGCTACGAAGTCATGTTCTTGTCATGGGTTTCATTGGTAAAGATGACATGTGAGTATGTGGATGGCCTAATAATTACATGTTCAGAATTATATTTTTAATTGCTTTGAATTAGTTTAATCTTGGAATATTTTTTATGACTCTTTTCCATTGTATTAGTGCATTAATTTATAATACATTTTTGACGACTATTTTATACAGTACCTGTTTATTGACAAGTTTCTGGAAAGGAACATCTGTAGTGAGCCAGATTGTTCAGTGATGAGTTGTAGAAGAGAAGTGCCTATAATAAATCCTATCTAATAAAAGAGAAACATGGTAGTTAGCGTATGACTGCTACCCTTCCCATTGGCTAATCAGGGCGATATGCAAATTAACTGCCAGCCAAGATGGCGGCCGCCAGCCGGGTCT